GATGTGCTGAGAGGAGAACAAAACAGCATATTTAAAACCTTAAAAACACAAAGTTTGTTTCACGAGGTAATCAATAGGCGTATCACATCTAGTCACCCACCTCAACAACAATCATAAAAGCCAGTTTGGCAGCAATAACGTGCCAATAATATATGTTGAACTCATATTGATTATGATGACTTGGAGGATTCCTGAAATCTCGATACCTGAAAACATAACAAGAGCAAATTAATACATCTGTCAGTGTTCATAAAATAATCAACTGCTCTTTATATTTAACAATGTAAAATCTTAAAGTCCCCCTGTAGTCAATCATTTTGTCCCCTAAAACTCATCGTTGATCACCACAATGGCATATTTAAATGTTTTTTTTTCCTTTGCATACTTTAAAATAGCTTGAATGTAACTCGACACCCTTGCCTCATTTAGTATTCGCGGTTCTATGAATATGCAAATGAGCTCCGCCTCCACTCACTCGTACAGGCTCATCCATAAGTTCATGTATTAGAATGGTAATGCATTTTATGTATCGCTCTCTGCAACGTCGGACACATAACGGTTATTAATATGATTAGCCTTTTGCTTGACTATGCTATCAAACAGATAATAATGTGTTGCTAATGTTACACAAACCATGTTCACCATCTCAGAGTCAGACTGCTGCCTTCTAAAAATCATCAGAAACGCTTTGAACAACTAGGAACATCAGTGGAGAAATCCATATAGTTCATCATAACATTGTTATATATATATATATATATCATACACCCGCTATATTGCTAAATCCACCCGATTTTCCATATCAACAGAAAAATATACGGGGATAACCTGGCTTCTCTTGAGGCTCCCCTGCTAGTTCGCTGTTAATGATATGCTAAATCCCGCCGGCACGTTGATCTGATTGGTTACAAGGTCGTTTGTGACGTCAGAAACATTAGCGATTTCAAACCGTGTTTTTGAGACTGTCTTTGGTTCACTGCAGTTTTAAGCAGAAAATACTCAGCAATGCTGTCGACTTATGAATTTACACACGGTTTGTCTTAAAGCATATTTAAAAAAACAACACGTAGACATATAAACAACATTAAAGGGGTGGTTGATTATGATTTCACTTTTCTAACTTTAGTTAGTGTGTAATATTGCTGTTTGAGCATAAACAACATCTGCAAAGTTCCGAATCTCAAAGTTCAAAGCAAAGGGAGTGTAGCTGAGGCGTGCTACTACTATAATAATACGCTGATTGAGGCGGCCAAATATGGACTGGATTCCGGTCAGAGAATCAGGGAGCGGAGAGAAGATTCTTCACAGAGATGTTTTATTGTACAGTCTTTGGGTGGTTATCTGGATTAGTTATTCATTGGCAATGATGTCTGTATTAATGGTCTAAAGGAACAATAAAGAAATATAATTAAGATTGTATTCTGAAAATAATTTACACACTGGCATGGTAATAAAACAAATACGATAAACATAATACACTGTACCATGGTATGTTACTAATATAAAACACATTGGTTACACAGTTGAGAATACTTCCAATGCTAATACTGATTAGCGGATTTATCTCGCGGCAAATTACGGCCGCTACGGCGCTCCAAACGCGCCGATAACAACCGTAGAACGATCGCGGGACATCAAACACATACATTCAATAAACATACATATGCAGATGTACTTAAGCCGCCTTTCCACTGCACACGACAAACGACAGCCGTTGGACCGGAAGTCATTCATTTCCAATGGAGAGTCGTACGGGAGCTGCGGGGAGTTCCGATCATATGCGTATGCGGAAAATTCGTATCCGATTTGAGCTTTGGATCCGTTGAAATATCTGAACTTCTGCGGCTAGACCGTATGCGACTGGCCGACCGGATGTGATGTATTCTAATCAAAACTATGAGCGTGAGGCTAGAATTACCAATATTTCAACTCTTTAATGTTATTCTGTAAATTCTATTTCTGTAAAATGTCGGTTATTAATAATTATGGCAGAAAAAAATATTTTATAATTATTAAATCAATATTTATTTTGATTAGCTCTGTAAAATCTATTGTTTTTATTTTAGATGTATTGGGGGTCATTTGTTTTGTGTGGATATATTCATGCATGAATTACATTAATCATTCATTTTACCATTGTGAATAGCCGAGGGACGGTTGCTTCACGACCAATTTCAAAGTTCCGTGCGACTGACACTAGGGGGCGAAATGCGACAATCGTATGCGAATGTCGTGTGCAGTGGAAAGGCGGCTTTACATCAAGGCATAAACGCATTAAACAAACATAAATAAGCGTGAAGAGGTGAACATTCCCCAAGACAGTCTTCCTGTGTGTTCCACTATAATCGGTCCGTGTGGCAAACAACTCTGATTCCTAGGACAGGCTTTCGTACAGGGAGATATTTCCTTTTAAAGAAATTGTTTTTTAAGGACTACAACAAACGGCTGGTAGGGACCACACGAGCTTCCTCCCGGGTTAGTGACATCACTAACCCTAAAATTTACATAAACCCGCCCCCGGGAGCGATATTTTTTTTCACAGGATGGTAGAGGAAGACTCATGAATATTCATTAGGGAACTCATCCCTGATTGGTCTGATGACCTACCCCCTAACCCCGCCCCTAAACCTACCAGTCACTGGGGTTAAGACCAATCAGGGATGAGTTCCCTAATGAATATTCATGAGTCTTCCCCTACCATCCTGTAAAAAAAAATATCGCCCCCGGGAACACGCAGTCCATGTTGAGAAGAGGAAAAGTTGTTGTATAAGAGTACATTTATCAGTCAGCTCAAACTGTAGCATCCATATTTTCACATGCAATAGAAAGTCACTCTGTGTGCATCTCACAACAGTTCCTATACCAGCGATTTATAGATTATCCTGACAGAATATGCTAATTGAAGATAGTTAACTCCAAATCAGCAACATAAATTCATCAACTAACCATTCAGAGACGTCCTGTTGAATTCTACATGTTGTCACTTCTTCTTAGTCTCTCCATCTTTGTCTGACTCCGTTTTAAACATAAAAGGCAGAACAGTTTCTGACATTTAAGCGTGTGTCTGCGTGAGGTAATCGGAGCTGCTAACACACACACTCTTGAAGCTCCGCCCACTGTGCCGGGAGCTGCAGCTCATTTGCATTTAAAGGGCCAGACACAAAACTGTGCGTTTTTGCTAACCCTCAAAAAGTGACAAATTTAACATGCTATATAAAAATATCTGTGGGGTATTTGGAGCTAAAACTACACATACACACTCTGGGGACATCAGAGATTTGTTTTACATCTTGTGAAAAGGGAATTATACCACCCCTTTAAATAGTTAAAACTCCACCTTAAAAACTACAGCTCAATCCGACCTTAACATCTGTTGCCACCAGCCATATTACAAGACAAGCTTTTGCTCTTTTCTATGCAACGCTATAGAAGTAATGTTAGGGTAGTTTTATATAAAAGATCCAAACATACAGGTGTTACAGGTCACTTATAATGCGAAACACTTTTCTAAATGTTTAGATAAATCTATGAAACATGCATGCTGTGTATTAAACCACGAGCGAGCTGTAATTCACAAATATAACATGCTGTAATAACTGGAGATGTTTTACAAGCTGACCGGCATGTGGTGATGTTGGGCCAGTGCTGTGTGGTTTCATTATTTGGTTCGCTCTTTTCACTGAAGTCTGCGACGTTGAATACAGACAGCGAGCTGTTGATGAAGCCGGCCATGGTGTGGTCTGAGCCGCCGGTGTAAGGGTTCACAGAAAACGCCCAGTAATAAACCAGCCGAGGAATCATGTCCGAAGTGAAGGCAATGATGGCAGCCTGGAGAGGAAAACACACACACATGCAGACAGTGAGTGAACATGACCTGAATCACACAACAAGTTGCAAAAACAACTTCTAAACTAGGGCTGAGTACTGACACAAATTTTTGAGATTCGATTCTGACTCACAAACTTGTGATTTGATTCAATTCTGATCTTGATTCAAATTGAATTGATTCATTTGGAAATGTATTAGCTACAGTACAACAAGTCAAAGATTTAAATATAATGTAATTTAATTTATTAGTAACTGTTTCTTTTTTTAAATATAAACACTTAAATGGTGGACGTGTTGAAAACTAGTTTTCATGACGGATTTAGTAAAGTGGAAGAGATGATCGGTTCACGAGCCACATTAAAAAACATCAAAACAACAGTTATTGTTTGAATGTCATAATAAAATGGACAGAATTTGAAAGCAATTTAAAGTAACCTTCTGTATATCCTTTTATTTCTCACAACTTATTGAATTTTCATGTATACGTATATTTTTAAATTTGTTTTTGTACTTTTTTTTTTTAAATGAGCTGAAATTGACTTTATTGTCACCACTGGAGTTCCCCAAGGCTCAGTCTTGGACCCTCTTTTATTTATTATTTATTTGCTTCCCCTTGGACACATTTGTGTTTAACTGAAGAAATAAAATCATGTACAGGTGAAACTCGAAAAATTAGAATATCGTGCAAAAGTTAATTTATTTCAGTAATTCAACTTAAAAGGTGAAACTAATATATTATATAGACCCATTACATGCAAAGTGAGATATTTCAAGCCTTTATTTGTTATAATTTTGATGATTATGGCTTACAGCTTATAAAAACCTTTCACAATATTTTAATTATTTGGGGTTTTTTCATAAGCTGTAAGCCCTAATCATCAAAATTATAACAAATAAAGGCTTGAAATATCTCACTTTGCATGTAATGAGTATATATAATATATTAGTTTCACAAATAATATTGAAATAAATGAACTTTTGCACGATATTCACATTTTTCGAGTTTCACCTGTACATCAGTGATGGGATGAGGGTGAGTAAATAATGAGATAATTGTAATTTTTGGGTGAATTATCCGTTTAAGAATCAAAATGAGAATCGATTAAAATATTTTCAACCCACATTTGTGGCCACTGCGAGAATCGCCACTCCCTGTAGGATCGGCTGCCAGGCTCCAATGTCCTGGGCCTTTTCCGGGACTATCCGACGGAACTGAGTAGTGATTTTCCAGGCGTCCACACGGATTTCACACAGATTGTTGATCAGCGCCAGGAGAGGAGCCAACGGGAACGACGCCACAAACAGAGTCACAAATCCAAACTGGATCACTGTGGGAATGCAACAGACCAAAAACACATTCAGACAACAGTGTTCGGGCACTCGCAGCTGATTGGATGGTTGAAATGTGTGCGCAAAATCTCACCCATCTCCAGGTATTCATAAAACAGGCCGAGCTTTCCTATTGGCTGGAGTTGATAGTCCTGCTCCCAGCGAGGAATCTCTTTTTCTGAACCCACCTGGGTGCAACGACGAAATATCAGATTCTTCACCCACCTAGAAACACGATTGTTTATTAATTTGCTGTTGTTTTTTATCAGCTCTATGAAAGAGTTAATAATCAGTGCTGATGATCATCAAAATTCAAGTCGAGCCAAATTGATCATGATGTTAATGTTCAAAATTTGAAACTCACGGCAGAAGGACTTCTTGTATGTTGTTCCAGACGGCCTTTCCGGTCATGATGATTGACAGCTGAGTGGTCAGCTCAGTCAGGCAGCCGCCAGGATCACACTGAACGCAATATTGTTTCATGTTATATGAAATAAACACATGTAACAGACTTCACACTTTTTATTTAAATCCACTTGCATTGCATTCAAGGAATTCAGTTGCATATCAGTTGATGCAGTCAACTGATCATGAAGTCAAACTTATGACATACCAAGTCATATTTATGAGATGAAAAGTTGAAATTATTACATTAAAAAGTCAAAATGATGACAAAACAAATTGAGATTATGACTTATAGTAATACTTTTGACATTAAAAATCTAAAATTATAATATTAAGAAGTTAAAATTCGGACAAAAGTCAAAATTATGTCTTGAAGTCATATTTTCCACATTAAAAAGGTCGAAATTATGGCTTAAAAGTTTAAATTATGACAAAAAGTCAAAATATTGGCATGCTAAATGATAAAAGATGAAAAGTAAAAAATATGACATAAATCTAAATTTTGACAATTTAAGTCGAAATTCTGACTTAAAAAGTCATTACTATAACATTAAAAAGTTATGTAATTATGACAGAAAGAGTCAAAATTCTGACTTAAAAAGTTACATACTAAGTCATAATGACATAGTCATAGTTATAAGATTAAAAAGACAACGTATACATTGACTTTCTCATAATCATGTATTCTTCAGTCAGAATTTTGACCTTTTAAAGCTACAATATGTAAGATTTTTGTAATAAAATCTCCCAAAAAAAATGACATATTGTAGCTTTAAGTTAGAATTTCAACTTTTTAATGTCATAATTTCAGCTTAGTAATTAGTATGTTATAATTATGACTTTTTAAGAAGAGAAGTAGAGTGGTAACTACTGAAGCAGCTGGCATGTAGTTTATACTCAGAATTTCTGATAATAATAATAACAACAGGGTTTTTTTGCCTGTAGTTCCTCGTCTCCTCACAGAAATCTCTCACCTCCTCGTTGCGGAACTGCCCGAACCAGTAGACGGGCTGTCCCGGGTAGCCCACCAGCTTTCCTTTGAAGAAAGCGATGTAGAAACAGGACGAGTAATAGTTCACAAACTGAAAGAGGAACATCTTCAGCGTCAGGCTGTTCTCGTACTCCGTTTTGGTCCGCGGCAGCTCTGTAGCACACAGAATGAGCCCCATATTTACTTAGAGGATCCTATAAACCGGGGTCTTAAACTCAACTTAACTGGGGGCCGCTGGAGGTGGAGTCTGGGTCAGGCTGGGCCGCATCAAGTATCCCACAAAAAAATAGTATTCAAGTATTCCAAAAAAGGAGCACAACTGATCCAATCTTCTCAATCTTTATTATTAAAGTTTCTTCTGAACTATTCCTCTGAATTTGGACATTCCTTTCTGTACATGATTGGTTCTTCATGAGCCGTCCTTCTGACAGTTGAAGTTCATTTTACAAACTTTCTTTGTCTTTTCCTTATAACACATCTTTTGTGATTCTTTTATTTGCTCATGTCCTTTTTATTTTCAATATGATATTGAATGTTTTTTTGGAAGGCACATTTCCTTTTATTATACTTAGAAAAACGATTATTGCTTTTGAAATACAAATATATGCAGTCATGTCTGCCCGTCTTATTGAGTTCGTTCTTCACATGTATAGTGTCTCAGGGAAATTACTGACTTTGCACAAATCAAAGCAAACCTTCTTATCAACCTGTTGGAAACATATTACAAGCTCAAAATGATTATTCTCACATTGTTTTAGACTGCAGGGGTCTCCAACACGTCGCTCGCGAGCTGCCAGTAGCCCGTGGCCTGATTGGTGGCAGCTCGCCAAGTTCACATATTGCGCTCACATATTTTGCGCGCTCAAGTGCGTTATTTCAAATGTAGGCGCTCATAATTGAAGCGACGCGCTATTTTTTTCCAGGCGCAGTATGTTTGTACTTCGCGGTTGTCTATGACAACTATTGACAACAAACCCACCGTAAGCTGTCACAAGACTATCTATGGTAGCCCATAAGGGATAAAACAAAACAAAACAAAAAACGTGCACACGCAACGACGGGCCGCACTAACATTAAACTTTAATGTCAAGTAGGGGGCCACAAAATATCACGCGAGTTTGAGACCACTGCTATAAACACTTTTACTCAGTATGGAAATAAAATAACTAATGCAGTTAATTACTGTTAACACTTAAGGGGGTCGCACACCGGACGAGAAGCGCAGCGCCAGGTCTTTAAAATTCGAACACATTATTCTCTATGAGTGTACTGTTACGTGGAAGTGTATTTGCCTTGTGTTGTTGGGGAAAACAGTGTAGGTTTCCCTGGTGTGCTTTCTCTCTCGTTTCTTTCTCTCACTGTAATGACTCACAGGTGGAGCTGCTAACGAGTGACCTGACACACCAGCGGCGCCATTCGGCGTCTGTCCGCGGCGCCCAGCTACGGCTCAGGACCTTGTTCAAAACCCTGCCGCGCCACAGAGCGCCATTTGCATAGTTTTATATTAAATTTACATTTATTTGTCTCAAATCGACGTTAATGTACATGGCTTCACCCCGTGCTGTTTTCACTCGGGTTAGCTAAACGCTAGCTAAATAAATACTATTGTATTATGTGACATAGTTGCCTAGACAACGGATAACGTTACAACAAAATAACAGACTCAACGTGATAGACACTTTTACTTGATTAACGTTCAAACATCAGCTAGTATTCAATGAACATAAAAAAAAAAAAATAATAATCAAGAAAAAACACACATCGTGCAGCTCTTCGACCAGGAGTTGATTCAAAATTGTGCTCGCGCCATTAGAATGTGCGGTGTGCGATACCTGGAGTTGTCCTAGACGTGGCGCGGCGCTGCACTGCGCTTCTCGTCCGGTGTGCGACCCCCTTTAGGGCCCCATTGCTAGTTTCAGCCTGACGCAGTTATCATTTTTATGTCCTGCGCTACGTTGTTTAAATAGCAAATGCATTTGCGCCTATGGGCTTCTGATCTGAAAACGTGGCGTGTTCGGGCGCATTGTTGGTGCGTTGCTATTTTTTTTTTGTTATTTAAAGAGCGCGTTAGTAATACGAGCTTATAGGCGGGTCCACAACACACGTACACTCTGCTCATTACACACACAGGGACGCGCAGCAGCACACAAACATGCCAAATATTAAAAATAAAAGGATTACAATGTAAAAGATTATTATTGTGTACATAAAGATATGGTGGAATCCGGCTTGTCCCGTAGATGTTCTGCTTGAGCTTTAACCTCTCACACACACACACACACACACAGACACACACACAGACACACACACACACAGACACACACACACACACACACACACACACACACACACACACACACACACACACAGACACACACACACACACAGACACACACACACACACACAGACACACACACACACAGCTTTAACCTCGCGCACGAGCAGATCCGTTTCCTCGCTAGAGAAGCGTTCGGTTTTTCCGCTTGCAAATTGCGCGTGTAAATAGCGAATCCGCCATCATGGCGCGAGCGCAACTGGCTTTTAAAGGGAATGGGAGATGAGACTCTGATTGTTTTTTTGCACGTTACGCCCAAAACACACCCATTACTCATTAAGAGAATAGAGACAACACTTTTAGTGCATGCGCCGCACGCGCCGACCATTTTCCCCATCATTAAACTAGCAAAAGTGGATTCAGACGCCCTGAGTGCGCTTTAGACCATGCACTTAGATCGATAAAATAGGGCTTTTATTGTCAAAAAAATGTTTCAAGTCAAGTTAATTCAGCGAATCCCTGCTGTAAATCATCAAACTACAGCGTTATGAGTGAAACTGGTGACTTACCGAAATCTGTGATCCAGATGGCTACTTTTTCGTAGACGTTGTTGAGAATCATGATGAGGATGAAGCTGATGATGGAGGCTGTGATGGAAGTGGCCATCTGAGGGGTGACGTACTCTTTGAACGGCTCCAGCTCCTTGTGATTGTTCATATCCGAGCGCAGCCTCGTAGAGAAAACAAGAAACATCGCCAAGCGATACACGATCACCCCAACCACTGATGCTATGATCAACAGAATCTACACGAGATCATAAAAAAGCAACAGAGAGGCGGATGATGCAACATGAAATTACATTGAAAAGCCATTTTACATGCATAATGTGAATGAAAGTGATTTAGAACATGTATTAGACTAGGCTTTAAATGTATGATGAGACTGAAAGTGTAAGATTACCCAGAATAACACAGTGCTGATGCCACATGACACTCTCACGCACTTCCCACAGGCCGTGTACGGCACCTTCTCATTAGACTGTACGAGACAAACACAGAAGCACACTGCATATTTAATGCTTTTTTAAGCAAACACCAAAAACAATTAATACAACGACTGCATCCAGTGAAACTCGTACCTTTGTAATAGGGTTTATTCTTTCATGGATGCATTTGGCCTCATATTCGGGTCGTGGCTGTTCCTCTTGCTGAAGAAACTCCACCGTGTCCCAATCGTGCTCCAGCACGGCCTGGTACCGTTTCCAGAACTCCAAAAACAGTGTCACTGTGAAAGATAAAAGACATTGCATACAAGATGTACCAAGTCATATTTATAAGATGAAAAGCTGAAAGTTTGACATTTAAAGTTAAAATTATGACGTAAAAAGTCGAAATTATGAATTGAAGTCATAATTATTACATTAAAAAGTCAAAATTATGACTTAAATTCATAATTACGACATTAACAAGTTGAAATTATGACATTAAACATTTAAAATTATGACGTAAAAAGTCAAAATTATGACGTAAATTCATAATTACGACATTAACAAGTTGAAATTATGACATTAAACAGTTAACATTATGACGTAAAAAGTCGAAATTATGAATTGAAGTCATAATTATTACATTAAAAAGTCGAAATTACGACTTAAAAGTTTAAATTATGACAAAAAGTCAAAATTATGACTTAAATTCATAATTACGACATTACAAGTTGAAATTATGACATTAAACAGTTAAAATTATGACGTAAAAAGTCAAAATTATGAATTGAAGTCATAATTATTACATTAAAAAGTCGAAATTACAACTTAAAAGTTTAAATTATGACAAAAAGTCAAAATTATGACTTAAATTCATAATTACGACATTAACAAGTTAAAATTATGACGTAAAAAGTCGAAATTATGAATTGAAGTCATAATTATTACATTAAAAAGTCGAAATTACGACTTAAAAGTTTAAATTATGACAAAAAGTCAAAATTATGACTTAAATTCATAATTACGACATTAACAAGTTGAAATTGACATTAAACAGTTAAAATTATGACGTAAAAAGTCAAAATTATGATTAAAATTCATAATTACGAAATTAACAAGTTGAAATTATGAGATTAAACAGTTAAAATTATGACGTAAAAAGTCGAAATTATGAATTGAAGTCATAATTATTACATTAAAAAGTCGAAATTATGACTTGAAAGTTTAAATTATGACAAAAAGTCAAAATTATGGCAAGCTAAATGATATAAGAAAAAGTCAAAAATATGACTAAATTAGGACATTAGATTAGGTCAAAATGACTAAATCGAAACTATAGCGTTAAAAAGTCAAAATTATGATAGTCAAAATTGACATAAAAAGTTAAAATTATGACTTATAATAATTACTACATTAAAAAAATCTAAATTATGACATACTAAGTCAAAATTATGACATTAAGAGTCAAAATTATATATTAAGTCATAATGACATAAAGATAATGTATATATTGACTTTCTATGTCATAATCATGTATTTTTCAGTCAGAATTGTCAACTTTTTAATGGCAAAACGGCAAAAAGCTCCAAATATATTTATGCAATGCATCTAAATGTTGCATTACAAAAATTGCAACACTTTACAATAAGGTCCCATTAGTAATACATTAACTATTGTGAACATTGGAAAAATGACTGTTGCATGTACAGTAGCTTGCTGGTTCTCGGCCAGAATAAGCTGAGCCAATGTTGATGTAAAAGCATTGTTGATGCAATGTTGAGTAATCAAAGGATTAGCATAATGAGGCTAGGATTAGGGTTCAAATGTGACCAGTGTATGACATCATTACTCACCCCAAACAGACATGAAAACAGCAAACACTAATGTCCCATAGTTATCAAATACACACAGTCTCTGTGGGGGGAAAAACGAGAACAGAAACACATTATCAGTTTCAGAACAACAAAAAGGGAGTTTCACAAACACCAGAAGTTAAAACCAAGATCAGACATGAAATCTCCAAATTCTCCAGAGGAGACGTTGTGAAATTATGACATTAAACAGTTAAAATTATGACGTAAAAAGTCGAAATTATGAATTGAAGTCATAATTATTACATTAAAAAGTCAAAATTATGACTTAAATTCATAATTACGACATTAACAAGTTGAAATTGACATTAAACAGTTAAAATTATGACGTAAAAAGTCAAAATTATGACTTTTGTGATCAACATCTGTGATCAACAAAACGTTTATGATTCTTACACGTTCTGTTCATCATGATAATCTTCACAAATGAACACAACTTCAGACCTAAATACAACTGGCAGCAGTTAAAAGCTAAACGTAGGCTATAAACGAACTACATCACAGTCACATGACTTCAATCAAACACTTTAGATGTACAAAAATGGTGCACTCATATTATAAATGGGAGAAAGTGCAATGAGCAATATGGCGGAATTAGTCCCGCCTTCTAAATAAAAGAGCCAATCGCTGATTGATAAAGTCATCTTATATGACATTTAATGTCCTCAAAAACATCAAAGTCCTATTTATTTAAAATCTAGTCCATAATCTATTTAATTGCGTTCCCAAACACCAGCCATCCGATTGCAAGCATTATAGCATTTAGTCATTTATTATGATATATGAAAATATAACCACAGTGGCTTCACAGACTGCAGCAACTTGCATTTTTATTACAGATATTTCGCGCAAATTTCCCAGGAAGAGACAATTTTACTCTCTTAAGCACATGGGATGGAAACGGTGACTTGTTTGTAGATGTTTTATGCGATATTTAAATTTTGCACGCAAGATAAATTTGCAACTTTGGATGGAAACATGGCTATTGACTTCAGGACAATGGAACCGGAGGCACTAAAATGCTTGTTTCTGGGTTTTGGACAAGCGGCGATCTTCCTCTCTCTCTTGAATCCAACACTGAAGTGACTTAAACTGCAATTCATCGACTGGCCACTAGAGACCGGCTGCAAAAGAGAGTCAATCCCATAGACCTCCATGTTAAAATGCCCAACTTTACAGCAGAAAAAAACATGTTTACAGCCTGGTGCAAAAAGTGGTTTTGGTCTATATAGTTAATTTTGCCCTTCATGACGACTGTGAGGGGGGTGAATTTTTTTTATAACTCATCCGTTTAAATTATATTAAGCCTTAAAGTTCTGAATAATTAAGGGCGTGGCCACTTGAGTGACAGGTGGATTGCCGCTGATGTCACTACTAGCCGTTTGTCAGCTGTCTGTTAGCGTCACGTCTCCTCAGCTAATCCGCCTCGCTGCGCATTTTCAGTTATCCGGGATGGCGATATTTTTTTTCCCAGGATGGTAGGGGAAGGTACCGCCTTTTTCGTCTCTGATTGGCTAGAAGGGCTGTGTGTGTGTGTGTGTGTGTGATGGGTAGGTTAAGGGGTCGGGTTAGTGTGTGTGTGTGTGTGTGTGTGTGTGTGTGATGGGTAGGTTTAGGGGTCGGGTTAGTGTGTGTGTGTGTGTGTGTGTGTGTGTGTGTGATGGGTAGGTTTAGGGGTCGGGTTAGTGTGTGTGTGTGTGTGTGTGTGTGATGGGTAGGTTTAGGGGTCGGGTTAGTGTGTGTGTGTGTGTGTGTGTGTGATGGGTAGGTTTAGGGGTCGGGTTAGTGTGTGTGTGTGCGTTTGTGTGTGTGATGGGTAGGTTTAGGGGTCGGGTTAGTGTGTGTGTGTGTGTGTGTGTGTGTGATGGGTAGGTTTAGGGGTCGGGTTAGTGTATGTGTGTGTGTGTGTGTGTGTGATGGGTAGGTTTAGGGGTCGGGTTAGTGTGTGTGTGTGTGATGGGTAGGTTTAGAGGTAGTGTGTCTGTAGTGTGTGTGTGTGTGATGGGTAGGTTTAGGGGTCGGGTTAGTCTGTGTGTGTGTGTGTGTGATCGGTAGGTTTAGAGGTAGTGTGTGTGTGTGTGTGTGTGTGTGTGTGTGTGTGTGTGATGGGTAGGTTTAGGGGTCGGTTTAGTGTGTGTGTGTGTGATGGGTAGTTTTAGGGGTCGGGTTAGTGTGTGTGTGATGGGTAGGTTTAGAGGTCGGGTTAGTGTGTGTGTGTGATGGGTAGGTTTAGGGGTCGGGTTAGTGTGTGTGTGTGTGTGTGTGTGATGGGTAGGTTTAGGGGTCGGGTTAGTGTGTGTGTGTGATGGGTAGGTTTAGGGGTCGGGTTAGTGTGTGTGTGTGTGTGTGTGTGTGTGATGGGTAGGTTTAGGGGTCGGGTTAGTGTGTGTGTGTGTGTGTGTGTGTGATGGGTAGGTTTAGGGGTCGGGTTAGTGTGTGTGTGTGTGTGTGTGATGGGTAGGTTTATGGGTCGGGTTAGTGTGTGTGTGTGTGTGTGTGATGGGCAGTGTTGGGCAGTAACGCGTTACTGTTACGCAGTTACTTTTGACAGTAACTAATACTGTAACGCATTACTTTTTAAATAAATTAACTCCGTTACCGTTACCATATGGCACGTTGTCCGTTACTTTTTAAAATTAATTAGTTGCTGGAGCGGCTGAGAAGTGTGCGCTGTCATTACACAGTACGAGAGCACTGAAGAGACTGCTAGCATTATACAGAGCGAGAGGACACCTGAGGACACATAACAAACTCACTGGCTGAGTTGTTTACGTACACGTGAGGCAGCGCGAGCACGGAGATTACAAGCTGCACAGTGAGCGCTGAGCACTTGATGCGCATTTAAAACACAGACAGCGAAACGTTATGAATACAGAACACTTAAGTACACATTGCCATATCATTATAAAATAATACATTTTTTGACTAGATGCTGCATCAGCAGAGAAAGAACAGAAGCTTGCCGTCGAGTCTGAGAGGAATAACATTAGTAACGGCTAACTTACCTCAAGCGATTAAAGCAATGTGACAAAAACACACGCAGACCTGACCCACATGTTTTATGTCGCAATTGTTACCATCTATTTGCATTAGTTTATGTCCAGCTGGTCACTTTTATGCATTCATTAGCCGGCGAAGTTGTATTTTTAAAACTAGTGACGCGATTGATTGCTTACATTGATGTGTTCATGCAGCCGACATCAAGTCTAATCAAGTGTTCTAAAATTTAAGCAAATAAAGTGAAAGACTGTACATGTAATATAGGTCTACATTTATGTAATTTTAATGCTCTGGCCTTTGCAGATATTTAAATATGGCCATCTTCTTTAAGCTTGAATCATATAAATGGCAACACTTTACAATAAGATAACAATTTTAGCATTAAATATGGTTAATAAATGTTGTAGAAGTATCATTCATTGTTAGATGTATTTGTATCTCCTGTAATTGCACAGGAAGATGTTACCACCTGCTGGGCATTGCTGCCTGTCGCACCTCCTCCAGTGCCCATGGGTCAGCTGCAGGGTCATCAGCCAGAAACCACCGTTCACCGACGTTTCGCTCCTTCAATTCTGGAACATCTCCTGGTGGCGGAGCAGTGACAGGGACGTCTCCCTGTCACCCCCTGCAGCTGATAGCTGTTCTCCCTGCTGCTGTTATCTGGGGTTAGATGTTCTTCCCCCAACACCTGTCTTTCCTCCTCAGCCAGAGCCAAAAGCTACCTTTCTCTGCCTCCTCTGCCAGATCCTTTGTTGCCCTCCTTAGCCTCCCTCCGGCCACTCCTGCTTCCCTCAAGAGGCGTATGGTTGACACCCCAAGGAAACCTCGGCATCCGACCTCCACTGGGTGGATGGTCGTCTTCCAGCCAGCCTCCCGGCACTCGGCAGCAAGCTCCGAGTACTTGGCCTTCTTCCGTTCGAAGGCGGCCTCGATCCCCTCCTCCAGTGGTACAGTGAGCTCAATGAGGTGCGTACGCAGGATTCTTAATTTCCAAACCACTGGTGGAGGTTCCGAGGGCAGGGAAGCGTGTCGTAGGTTGAACGAATAAGGAAATTAAGTCTTGCCTGTGGGATCTTCCACACGTCTGACCAACTGATGTTCCGGTTCATGATTCCCTCCCAGGTTGTCCAGCTTCCTTGTCGACCCTGCGCCACGGCCTTGATTTTGTAGCGATCTTCCTCCATCCTCGTCACCTCTGCTACCACCATCTCCTTCCTTTGCTTGCGATTGACCTTGGACCAAAAGCGTGGCGTCTCTCCCCATCCTAGACCTGCTCTTCCTACCTGAACTCTGCCCATGATCTCCCGGTGTTGTAGCCGACCGACAGCTTGATCGACCTCGGTTTGGGCATTCCACTTGCGGCCAGTAGGAACCTTGGCATTTGCGTTCTTTACTGACTCGTCTGTGGACTCCCTCAGCTCGAGAACCAACCTGGTCTTTTCTTGCATGTAGCCCAACTGTATGGACTGCAGTGGCAGCTGCAGCATGTTTTTTCCAAATAGACCGGTTTCAGATAGGCACCGTGGCAACCCCAACCACTTTCGGATGAATGAGTTGGCTTTTCCATCCATCTTACTTACAGTTGATGAGGGAATCTCACTCATTTTCAGGGGCCACATCACCCTCCTGTAGAGTGTAAACTGGTAGCACCAGACCGTAAACTTCCCAGGGAGTTGGCTTTGGTCGATCCTTGCCAGTCCGTCGGAGAGCTGCTTCATGACGGTTTTCCCCATCTGTTTGTCAGATAGGTCTGCAGTGTACTGCCTCCCCAGGCTTTTATTATTATTTATTTATTTAATTATTATTTATTTAATGACCACACAGCCAGGCTGGTGGAATTTGTTTTCAGTACAGCTCTTTGGTACAGGTTCCAGCATTACATTAAACAGTAAACATTAAACATATAAAGTAACATACATATACATACAGATAAACACATTAATACATAATACATAAGGGGTCATGCTTAATCCACAGTCCTCAGCGTTCAGAGTTCAAAAGGTGTATTGCTTTTGGAATGAAACTATTTTTGAAGCGAGTTGTTCTAGAGGCGATTGTCCTATAACGCCTCCCAGAGGGCAGTAACTGGAAGGCGTAGTGAGCAGGGTGCGAGGTATCAGAAATTATCTTGTGGGCTCTGCGTAGTGTCCGTTTGTGGTAGAGTGATTCAAGGGATGGTAGGGTTGAACCAATGACTTTCGATGCTCTGTTGATGATACGCTGTAATTTCTTCCGGGAAAGGGAGTCAAGACTGCCAAACCAGACTGTGATGGAAGTGGTGAGGATGCTTTCAACGATGGCCATGTAGAAGTGGAGCAGAAGATGAGACCTTACTCTGAACTTCTTGAGCTGTCGGAGATGAAAAAGTCTTTGCTGGGCTTTTTTGTAGATATGATCTGTGTTGATTTTCCATTTAAGGTTATTGCTGATGTGTGTCCCAAGAAGTTTGAATGTATCAGTAATGGAGATGGGTTCACCTTCAATGAGCACAGGAGTTTTGGGGGATGGCTGACGTCTCAGGTCGACGATGAGTTCTTTTGTTTTTGATGTGTTGAGTAGAAGATCATGGTCTGTACACCAGGTCACTGCTTGGTTGATCTGTGCACGGTATACGGTTTCTTGGTTGTTGGTGATGAGTCCTATAATGGTTGTATCGTCTGCATATTTGTATAGGCTGACAGAACTGTGGTGTGATGTGAGCTGGTTTGTGTAGAGAGAAAATAGCCATGGCGAGAGAACACAGCCTTGGGGTGCGCCTGTACTGAGGAACAGAGGGGAGGATGTATTATTATTAATCTTTACCCTCTGTTGCCTGTTCCAGAGAAAACTGTGAATCCAGTGACAGATGCATGGATCGATATTCATGTCCAGTAATATATTGATCAGTTTGACCGGGTTTATTGTATTGAATGCCGAGCTGAAATCCATGAACAGGATGCGGGCATAGGTGTTTGCAGACTCAAGATGGTTAAGTATCTGATGAATTGCTAAGTTGATGGTGTCCTCAACTGACCTGTTGGCTCTGTATGCAAATTGGAATGGGTCCATGAGGGGTGTGGTGACAGTTTTTAGGTGATTGAGTACGATGCGTTCAAATGATTTCATGACTGCTGATGTCAAAGCAATAGGTCTGTAATCATTGAGACAGGAGATGTTCTTGGTTTTGGGAACCGGGATGATAATGGATTCTTTGAAGCACTTGGGTACTGAGTTTTGACAGAGGGAGGTATTGAATATGTCGGCGAAGACCCCAGCCAGTTCTGCAGCGCAGTGGTGGAGAACGTTGGGGCAGATGTTGTCTGGGCCGGGGGCTTTATTCCTCTTAAGTCCCCTTCTTTTGATCGGTTGCTCTGATAGAAGTGGGATTTTTTCCCCTCCAATGACGAAGATGGTATTGTCATTTCTGACTCCTCTCCTGAGGGACAAGCTCCGAGACTTGGAGGGCTTGATCGTCATTCTTGCCCATGACATTAATTCGTCCATCCTCTTCAGCAGTCTTGATGTGCATGCTGCTGTCTGAAGGAGGCTGGTGACATCATCCATGTAACTCCTCAGTGGGGGAAGCCTCTTGCCAGTTGGGAGTTTGATCCCCCCAACCATTTGCCTTGCCCCGATGAGGATTATCTCAAAGGCTGCTACAAACAGTATTGGAGAAATAGTACACCCCATCGCGATTCCTACTTCGAGCCGCTGCCATCCGGTGGTGAAGTCCTGGAGGGAAAAACACATCTGCAAGTTGCTAAAGTACTGAGCTACCAGGCTCTTGACGCAGGTGGGCATGTGGAAGAATTCCATGGCATAGTTGACCAGCTGATGCGGAACTGATCCGTACGCGTTGGCAAGGTCAAGCCAGATGACATGCAGGTCGGTCTTCTCCCGCTTGGCCGTCTGGATCTGGTCCCAGATCATAGTGGAGTGCTCTACACATCCTAGGAAACCTGGAACTCCTGCCTTCTGGCAGTTGGTGTCAACATAGCCATTCTCGAGCAGATAGTTAGTCATCCTCCTGGCTAGCACTGAGAAGAAGATCTTTCCTTCTACATTCAGTAGTGCAATGTTCCGGAATTGGCTAATGTCTTTGGAGTTCGTTTCCTTAGGTATGAAGACTGCTACCTCTCTTTGCCACTCAGATGGAATGATTTCCTTTTTCCAGGCAGTTCTCATCAGATACCATAGTAGCTCTAGTACCTTGGGGCAGTTCTTATAAAGCTTGTAGGGGACCCCATTGGGACCAGGTGCGGAAGAGGACCTTGCCTTCTCCACGACTTGTCTGACTTCGCTGAGCTTGAGGGGCATGATGTTGAACTCAACTGTTGGCTTTGCCGGCTGGGGCACGTATCCTGGAGTTCCTAAAGGGACGCTCCTTTGTGGATCACTGTACTGCTCTTTGACATACTGCTCCAGTTTCTCCTTGGTGGTTTCGAGCCTGCCACTCTTCTTTTCCTCCAATAGTTGTCTGGCATGCTTGAAGGGATACTTGAAGAAGTTGGCTCGCTCTCTCTGCTTCCGCTGGCTGCGCTTGCGGATGCGTTCAGCTCTGCGAAGCCCGGCTAGCCTTTTCCGGACCTCCTCCCACAGGACTTTCAGACCCTCTCTCTCTGCGTGGGTTGCCTTCCTCCAGTTCTTGCGGAGTTGCCGACGCCTTTGCACAAGTTGGAGGATTTCCCTTTCCCTCCTTCCCTTCTCTCTCCTGGCGGTCGTCTGTTTGGGGACAATTTCGCCAAACTTGTCTTTGCAGGTCTGGTATATTATGTCTCCAATCAGGTTAAGCTTAGTCTCGCCCCCTCCTCGCAGTGATCCCTCTAGGGTCTTGATCAGGTCCAAGTCCAAATTGCGCCATGCCTCTGCTTCATTTGACTTCGGCCACTTCAACTTACTCCTTCTGGCTGGTTCTTTGGTCTCTTCATTTGGCTCTGTTCTGTCTAACGTGTTGGGGACTGGGTCTTCATGCTCACGTGGAGGCTCAGCCTCCACCAGGGGACCTTCCTCTGTCCTTCCTTAGTTAATGTAGGCCTACTATGAACTAACAAGAATGATCAAGGTACAATTGTATTGCTCAAATATTAATTCATGCAGTAAAAACCACAGTGGTAAAAACGTATACTGTCAGCTGCATGAACATATCAATGTTGAGAAAGCAAACAAGTCACTAGCTTTAAAAATGCTTGTTTTGTTATTTATTTCAGAAATCCTTGATATATTCAGTTTGTGCTGGTCTGACTTAAATAAAATAGTGTTTAAAAATTACTTTCTGTTTAAGTCAGTTTTGTGTTTGTATAGACCATAACGCATTAAAGGGCATTAATGGGAACATTTAAGAACTTTCTTTAAAAAAGTAACTAAAAAGTAACTTTTAACAGTAACGCATTACTTTTTGGTGTAAGTAATCAACAAAGTAATTGAGTTACTTTTTGAACGAAGTAACTAGTAACTGTAACTAGTTACTATTTCTTAGTAACTAGCACAACACTGGTGATGGGTAGGTTTAGGGGTCGGGTTAGTGTGTGTGTGTGTGTGTGTGTGTGATGGGTAGGTTTAGGGGTCGGGTTAGTGTGTGTGTGTGATGGGTAGGTTTAGGGGTCGGGTTAGTGTGTGTGTGTGTGTGTGTGTGTGTGTGTGTGTGTGTGATGGGTAGGTTTAGGGGTCGGGTTAGTGTGTGTGTGATGGGTAGGTTTAGAGGTAATGTGTGTGTAGTGTGTGTGTATATGTGTAACTTCTCATCTGAAGAGATTACGTTTCACGGCCAAATCAAATAACCAATCGGAGGAGAGCCCTTCTAGCCAATCAGAGGCGAAAAAGGCGGTACCTTCCCCTACCATCCTGAAAAAAAAAAAATCTCATCCGGGAGTGACGCTGCCAAGATGGCGACGACTGGCTCCGCCCACTTTGGGCTTCAAAAATGCTCTTCATAAACATTACACGTGATGTCACGGAATCTACACCCATATTGTTTTTTACACTCTATAGTTTTGGCCCAGAAGCACTTTATTTGATTACTCACTTTAGAGGACTCACATGTGATGTTCAGCCTCCAGTACGGACAGTCTTTATCACACTGCGGGCACATGACTATCTGTCCACCAACCTCAGGGTCGCACACCTCTTTGCTGCCCAAACAGAGTTATAATGAGTCAAAGCACATTGTAAGTGCAAGTACTGTGTGTATCAGAGCATGACGGCGTGATGTTATGAGGGTGCTGTACCTCCATGTGCTGCTCTCTCTGGTTCTGAATCCGTATATGAAACAGCCGAGGCCGACTGCAGCAGCGAGGGACAACATGACCGTGTAGAAACCCAACCAGGCAAAATAAATGCCGATCTTCTCGCCGAAATACTTCCTGAAACCAAGTTCAAGTGCATATTAACCCATGTGCATCCTTATGGACATTTTTGTCCTTTTCAGTTTTGTTTTTTTGCTCACTTTGTCTGTGTTAATGCCAACTGCATTAAATTTGGCACAGGTGTGTATTTTTTTGGGAATTTTACTATTCCACCGCCATTTTCTTTAAAAAAAAAAAAATTTGCACTAGGTACACAAAATACTCCCAAAATACTCAGCGCCTTTTGGACAAAAATGTCCCCATTGAAACCGATAAAACCTATGGAAGCTTGTTTCCGCCACAGAATGAAAAATAAAAAAGGTAATTGCGACTTTTTATCTCACAATTCTGACTTTTTATCTGACAATTCTGAATTTTTCTCACAATTGCGAGTTTACATCTCGCAATTCTGACTTTATTTCTCAGAGTTGCGAGATATAAAGTCAGAATTGCGTGAAATAAAGTCGCAATTGCGTGTTATAAAGTCAGAATTGCGTGATATAAAGCTGAAATTGCGTGTTGTAAAGTCAGAATTGCGAGATATAAAGTCAGAATTGCGAGATATAAAGTCAGAAATGCATGATATAAAGTCGAAATTGTGAGAGATAAACTATTCTGAGGGGCAAAAAGTTAGTCTTTTTTTCCCTTAGAATTGGCCTGATAACTCGCAATTGCGAGTTTATATCTCACAATTCTGAGAAAAGATGTCATATAAAGAGATATAAACTCGCAATTATGTGTTATAAAGTTAGAATTTCGAGATGTAAACTCCCAATTGTGAGAAAAAAAGTCAGAATTGTGAGATAAAAAGTCTCAATTCTGTCTTTTTTCTCGCAATTGCAACTTTATTTCTCAGAATTGTGACTATATCTCGCAATTGCAACTTTCTCAGAATTGCAACTTTATTTCTCAGAATTGCGACTTTATATCTCACAATTGCAACTTTATTTCTCATAATTGCGACTATTTCTCAGAATTGTGACTTTATATCTCGCAATTGCGACTTTATTTCACAGAATTGCAACTTTATTTCTCAGAATTGCGACTTTATTTCTCAGAATTGTGACTTTATATCTCGCAATTGCAACTATTTCTCAGAATTGCGACTTTATTTCTCGCAATTGTGACTATTTCTCAGAATTGTGACTTTATATCTCGCAATTGCAACTTCATTTCTCAGAATTGCGACTTTATATCTCGCAATTGCGACTTTATATCTCGCAATTGCGACTTTATATCTCGCAATTGCGACTTTATATCTCGCAATTGCGACTTTATTTCTCGCAATTGCGACTTTATTTCTCAGAATTGCGACTTTATATCTCGCAATTGCGACTTTATTTCTCACAATTCTGACTTCATATCTAGCAATTGTGAGATAAAAAGTCGCAATTATTTATTTATTTTTATTATTTTTATGTGAGAAAAAAAGTCAGAATTGTGAGATAAAAAGTCTCAATTCTGTCTTTTTTCTCGCAATTGCAACTTTATTTCTCAGAATTGTGACTATATCTCGCAATTGCAACTTTCTCAGAATTGCAACTTTATTTCTCAGAATTGCGACTTTATATCTCACAATTGCAACTTTATTTCTCATAATTGCGACTATTTCTCAGAATTGTGACTTTATATCTCGCAATTGCGACTTTATTTCACAGAATTGCAACTTTATTTCTCAGAATTGCGACTTTATTTCTCAGAATTGTGAATTTATATCTCGCAATTGCAACTATTTCTCAGAATTGCGACTTTATTTCTCGCAATTGTGACTATTTCTCAGAATTGTGACTTTATATCTCGCAATTGCAACTTCATTTCTCAGAATTGCGACTTTATATCTCGCAATTGCGACTTTATATCTCGCAATTGCGACTTTATATCTCGCAATTGCGACTTTATTTCTCGCAATTGCTACTTTATTTCTCAGAATTGCGACTTTATATCTCGCAATTGCGACTTTATTTCTCACAATTCTGACTTCATATCTAGCAATTGTGAGATAAAAAGTCGCAATTATTTATTTATTTTTATTATTCAGTGGCGGAAACAAGCTTCCATATAAAACAGACATTTTTTGCCTTCTTTAAAATGATACCAAACTTAAGTCTGTGCTCCCAAGCTTCAAATTTTTATGACCGTTTATTGACACGGACATTTTTGTCCTCTATTTACCTATGTGTAACTTTTTTTAATTGATGCACCAAAACTAAACGGTCTTTAGCAGAGCTGCTTTATAGCTGAAACAAAGTTATTTCATAATTGATGAACTTGAACTGAATTAAATCAACATTTAACTGAACGACACTATTGTTTTCTGTACATCTGCTTCATAGCTGACTCGAACTCGTTTCATAATTGATGAATTTGCATTATCCCTCATTTAGAGGGAAGCAGAAGTCAGAATAGAGAGTAAAAACACAAACTGCATGAATGCAATAGTCTTCTGACACAAACACACACCTGATCAGGTTCAGCGGCTGCATCTTGTAGAAGCTCTTGGGATTCGCCCACTCGTTGTAAAGCAGAAATCGTTCATTTGGGCAACTGGGCTCTTTAGACTTCACATTAAATCTGCACTGTTACATAAATCACAAAAACACCAGCAAAAAGCACATTAGTGATCATTTAATACTGCAGTAAGTACTCGTGCATCACCTCAGTCACTCTACATGAACTACATCCAGTTTAAACTACTTTTTTGGGTAACAAACACTTTATTTTACAATGTCCTTGTTACATATATTACATGTACTTACTATAATAAATGATGCATAATTACATGCAACTAAATCAAACCCTAATCCTAACCCTACCCTACAGTCAGTACATGTGTTAATTAATATTACTTAAACGTAACTTGCAAACCGTACTTAAATGTATAATAACGCTGTAACAAGGACACCTTAAAATAAAGTGCAAGCCTTTTTTACTCACCACTACAGTATTGCACTATAAGATATATTATTTATTTATTGCATTTAACTTTTTTATATTCGATTTATTTATATTAATTTGCTATATTTATACATTGTGCTATTATTTATTTATTATTAATTTAGTCAAAATTATTTAGGTGGCTAGTTAGTTATTTTTTATTTATTTATATTTACAGTTTTCCTGTACACAGTTTTTTTTACACAGTTACTTTTAAAATGTATAATTTTTTTTATATGCAGTTAAAATATTTTTTTATTTATAATTGATTTATTTTAATAATGTATTATGTTCATAACAAATATATTTAGTTAGCTAGTATCTTTTTTATTATTTATTACACACACACACATACATGTATGTATATATATATATATATATGTATATATATATATATAAAATAGTTTTTATTAGTATTTTGAATGAGCTATTTTTTTTCTTACTTTTTTATTATTATTTTTTTATTGTAGATTAATTGTAGTCATTTTTATGTGCTTTTCTAATTTTACTAGTGTTTTTAAATATTACTATTTAGGTTAGATTTATTTTTAATATAAAAATAAATAATATTAATATTAAACTTCAGTTAGAAAGTTTCATTTAGTTTAAGTTTTTCATGTTATATATATATATATTGTTTTATTTGATTTCAGCTTTATTTCAATTAAAACTTAAAAAAAAAAATAGTTTTAGTAAACTGTATTAAAGTAACACCAGGTAACTTTTCAACCTTCATAATATATTTCCAAGTCTCTTGTGATGGTACATCGACTTACAATAGGTTGAATGACACGTCTGCCATAGCCTGACGGGGTCTGTAGCGTTTTTAATCGTACTTTTAAACTTCGGGTTTCGGGTAGTAACCGGCGAACAAAGAGAACTACAAAATTCGACTGCTTTACGGCATATACGTCACTTCCACCACCACCCCCACTTCCTTAAAATCGGACGTGCGAGCCAAATGTTATAGTCATGGCCGAAGCAGCACAGAAAAACAAGAAAGCAAAGGTTTTATCGGAGCAAAGCAAAAAGAGAAAAAGAGAAAGTGATCGCGTTAAAGGCAGAACGAGGATCAACATTGGGCCAGCATTTTCTCCCTGGTGTGAGCTGAAGGAGGAGGAGGGTGCCCGACCGATGCAGACTTGGCAAAAAAAAAAAAAAATCAAATGAAAGCCTGTGTCTAAACGGCGTGCACAAGTTTGGTAGGGGCTACATTCTTGCAAGTAAATATATAAGATGTACAAAATTATATTTTAGGATACCTAACATGTCTGTGATATTTGTTTATTTGTCTTGCCTCAAGCTATAATGCAAATCGATTTGTAAAATTTGCTGATTCATTTATGGTAGCTTGATATTATAATATTGACGATATATGGTTATTATCAACCACTCAAACATTGCATTGAAGTATCATATAGATCCAGTAAAACGGTAACCAATAGACTAGGCTACTATAATGACGCTGGCTTGTAAACGTGATCATCGCGATCATTTGTCGTTAGAAAAAAATAAAACCCATGAAATTATATTCATATGACATGCTGAAATATATGCCACTGTACCTGGGATGAAGACATTTCAGACAAGACGCAAGCAGAACACCTGCATGTGACCCTCCTACAGTGTTCAGGGCTATCGTGGTTGTCAACAATTGCACGTGCATGTAGGATGACGACAGTAGTTTACGACAGTAGTAGAGGTCTAGAGGACAATACTGTTTCCCAACTGTAGGGGGACCCCACCCCGAGAGCAAAAGTTCCCTGGTGTTACTTTAAGCCTAACTGTGCCTGGGGAAAGTATGTGGATATTTTCACCTGTGGTGTCTGATGGTTATTGGTTACTTACATCATGTAATGGATACGCATCTTTGTACACGCCTCCGTTCAGCAGTTTGGAGAAGCCATACTTCCTCACGTTTCCTTTGACATCATACGGAGCTCGGTTGAGGACGTAGTACGCCTGTAACCAACGGTACATCAGTAAGAGACAGGTCAAGGTAAAGTGCAAGCGACTCTTAGGGCCCTATTTTATCCATCTAAGTGCATGGTCTAAAGCGCACTCAGGGCGTCTGAATCCACTTTTGCTAGTTTAACGACGGGAAAAATGGTCGGCGCTCCCGGCGCATGCACTAAAAGTGTTGTCTCTATTCTCTTAATGAGTAATGGGTGTGTTTTGGGCGTAACGTGCAAAAAAACAATCAGAGTCTCATCTCCCATTCCCTTTAAAAGCCAGTTGCGCTCGTGCCATGATGTCGGATTCGCTATTTACACGCGCAATTTGCAAGCGGAAAAACCGAACGCTTCTCTAGCGAGGAAACGGATCTGCTCGTGTGCGAGGTTAAAGCTGTGTGTGTGTGTGTGTGTGTGTGTGCGAGAGGTTAAACGCGAGAGATGTTTGTGTGCTGTTGCGCGTCCCTGTGTGTGTAATGAGCAGAGTGTACGCGCGTTGTGGACCTGCTTATAGGCTCATATTACTAACACACTCTTTAAATAACAAAATAAAATACTGCGCTATTTACTTTAGAGGTTTCAGATGGTCAATGGCTCAGTCTATTTCAGTTCCTCAAAATAGTAACGCACCAACAACGCGTCTGAACCAGAAGCCCATGGGCGCAAATTAGGGGTGGGAGAAAAAATCGATCCATCGATGCATCGCGATTCTCTCTCCAACGATTCTGGATCGATTCTGAGCTAGTTTATAACCAGATGTGCGATGACGTTTAGTTTGGTTTGGTTTAGAGACCCGTATTCTGCTTGATTCCAATTCCTCACACACATAGCCTACACCACTCCACTCGAACCTTCCGTAAAATAATCTTTCATAAAGTTCGGAAAGGTTGAAGCGAATTACAAGGACATTCACAGGCTTCATTGCACACGCTGTGAGAGACGCGCGCTTTCTTTGATGTTACACTTGAAGTGTGCTGTCTCGCCCATCGGTATTTTCCTTACAAATGCTCTACGAAGTCATCATTTATGTGGTTTGGAATGCAGTGGACTTATATATTTAAAATATGAACCTCACTAACAGAAGGCGGCTTTCAATTTCAAATGCTGACGCGCGCTTTGTTTGTGAGACTGCTCGCGCATGCGGCTGTGCGACTCCGTGTAGTGGTTTAATGTACTTGTGCAAAATTAACGTAAACACAGCCAGTTATGTCTTAAGGGATTAAACGGACAGGACACACCGCATTACTTCTTTTATTTCAAAAGAGATGCGTGAGTGAATACAGCTTAATAGATCTCCCGCAGTCTATGATGTCATAGTAAAAAACAACAGTAAAGATGAAGGAAAATCACTCACAGTTCTTGAATGGAAAACGTTCAGATAATCTATAGTCTTCTGAAAGCTCTTTTTGTTTATTATTTGTTATATTAGTTTAAATTTCTTAACATACAACTGTTTTAATAAAAAAATATTAATTTGTAATTATTTTTTAAAAAGTACTTACTTATGTAAACTAATGAATTAATAAGGGGGGGGAATCGGATCTGGAATCGGATCGTAACTCACAGAATCGGATCGGATCGTGAGGTGACCAAAGATTCCCACCCCTAGCGCAAATCCATTTGCTATTTAAACAACGTAGCGCAGTACGTGAAAATGAAAATTGCGTCGGGCTGAAACTAGCAAAAAACACTTGCGTCGCGCCGTGTGTATGATAGGGCCCTTAAGATGTTCAGACTGTACAACAGGGAGGATAATAGATAATTGGACAATTTTTCTACCTCCAGCTGTACTTCCATCTGTATCTGTATGGTTTACCTACATCTCCACTCCATTAGCACTATTTACTGTTTTTGCACTGCTTACTGTGACTACGGTGTTATAAGGTAATTGTATTTTAATTCTTTTTTATAGGTTTTAATGTATGTATATTTCTATGTATGTTTTTGTTTTTGTATGTTACTGGATACCTAAATTTCCCTTTGGGATAAATAAAGTATTAATCAATCAATCAATCAATCAATGTTCAACGCACCATTCTGCTCCTCATGGCTGGCGTGAAGAACTGATCTCTGTCCTTCACGCAAAAGCGGTTCAGCTGATCCTTCCTGAAGGGGGCCGTGAAGTAGTTCGTCTCCTTAGCAATGACGTCTTCGCTGGGGTAGAAGTGCTTGGTGAGGCAGTTGTACCCGGAGGATTCTGGGGCCAGATCATTGGGCTGGATGGGCAGTCTGATATGCAGGACTTCAGCGTAAGAACACAGCGTTTCAAAAGGCATGTGCAGTTTCACATAGAACATTTTCTCATCGATCACCTGCAAAACACAGAGAGATGGGAAACTTTCCCCATCAGCGCTACAGGAAGGTGTACGTGCCTTTGTCTAAAACAATAGCATTCCTGGAGATCAGATCAACAGGTTGAGACAAGACCGGCCGTATCCTTCCTGAGAATCCATATTTACTGGTGGAACTGATATAAACCAGGCATTAATGAAGCAGGAAATTACAAGAATGTCAATAAAGAAAGAGGAACTGCGGGTCTGATGCTTATGGAAGAAAAACATCTCTAGGAGAAGTCTTATTTAAATGTGCGATTAAACAACTTACGGATTGTGTCGCCTCCAATTCCACACCAAAATCCATCAGGCTTCCTTCAAAACACTCTCTTCGTCTTTGCTAGATGATAAATGAAAAAAGAGAGAAGAGTTTAAAAACTCTTGCTGATTTTGCTGTGTATGTATGACGATGACGTTGTTAAGAAAATAGTCTGGGGCTTGAGTTAGATGTTAGGTTTAGTGATTAAGGTTTCTAGTATGTGTGTGAATCTCACAAATTATTACTCATTTAGGGTTTAAAGTTGGCATGAAATGAAAATAAACTGTAAAAAATGTTTATTGATAAGAAGAGAAATAACAAAATCGAGGCATAACAAAACAGTAAATATATATATATATACAGTATGTGTGTGTGTGTGTATGTATATATACAGTATATGTGTGTGTGTATGTATATATATATATATATATATATATATATATTTGTGCTGTCAAATCGATTAAGCGTAATTAATCGTATCATACACAGTAGTTTGTGTTTATATAATGTGTATATATACATATATATATGTGTGTGCATGTGTGTGTATTTATATATTTTACATATACACATATATTTTTATATATAATAGTAAATGTATGTGTTTGTATGCATACATACATACATACAAACACACACACACACACACACACACACACACACACACACACACACACACACACACACACACACACACACACACACACACACACACACACACACACACACACACACACACAGGGTTCCCACTCCATTCTTGAAATGATTTTCCAGGACATTTTCAAGACTTTTTCAGCTGCTACAGTGCGAATCAATTACTATGCTAAAAACAATACTTGCAAGAAATAAACCTTTGAGCTTTTATTTTGGAGAAAACACCAAATAACCATGCTGATCGCGTGAGCAAAGAGCGCACTTTTCTTTAAATCACGCAGCACAAACAGAATGGCTATATAGGCTACTTAAAGGTCCCGTTCTTCATGTTTTTTTGAAGCTTTGATTGTGTTTACAGTGTGCAATATAACATGTGTTCATGTTTCGCGTGTAAAAAAGCATAGTATTTTTATTGTTTTCACTGTCCAAAAAACAGCCCGATGACCTTCTTGTTCTATGAAGTCCCTCCTTCAGAAATACGAAGCGAGTTCTGATTGTGCCAGCGGTTCCTGTGTTGTGATTCTACAGCAGCTTGTCGCACGTTGCCCGGAAAGGTCGCGCCTCTTACCATAAATTGGAGATGCATGCGCAGCTGAAGTGCTTCTTCTCCATAGGAGCACAACAAGACCACGCCCCCTTTTTTTGTGGGGACTTCTGTTAAATAAAATATCTCGCTAGGCATTGAACTTTGAGCTTTATAATTTTACAGGTATTATTTATGCTCTAACAGCAACATTACACACTAATTAAAGTTTGAAAAATGGAATCGCGAAGAACGGGACCTTTAATTACAGTCTTGTGCTGTTTTATAAAGGCACAAAGCCATATCACGGTTTCGATTTTACTTCGTTGACAAAATATAACGCTAGAGACCTTTATGGTATAGGCTATACATTTTACATCTCATATGTGTTGGGAAAAGGGAGAAGAGAGAGTTCGGCAAAAGGCGGATTCGAACTCGGGTCGAACGCGTCAAAAGCTGCTTTCAAGCACCACACGCCCGACGACACTGTAGATATTTAGTGAAGGGTATATTTTTGCTAAAAAGACAGGCATGTAGTGCAAATGTACACTCCGCTATCGGAAATGTAAAAAAAAAAAAATAGTCCACTTGCTTGGGCCCCAAGTGCGCATGGGCCCCCTGGGCCCGTGCCCATAATGCCCATTGGGTAATCCCGGCCTGTTGCTACGCAAAATGCGTACATATTGGCAGGTTTGTGGCACGTGGGGCGCTGTGCTGGCTACATGCAGAAATGAAAGCAGACAAGCGCTTTCGCCCAATATTACCCGTTGAAGGCAGCTGAAAACAGACATTTATGCGTAAAATGTTTAACCCGTTTGCGTTCATCTACAAGGAGGGAAAATTATTTTCCAGGACAACACAAACGTTTCCAGGACATTTTACTTTTTTTCCCATTTTCCATGTGTTTTCCAGGACTGGAAAATTGGTCTTTCATTTTCCAGGTTTTCCAGGACGCGTGGGAACCCTATATACAGTATATATCTACATGTACACACACATATTATATATAAACACAAATTTTTATGTTAGATGTAATCGATTTGACAGCCCTTTAAATTTATATATATTATGCATGTTTCATTTTTACTTTTTTTTTCACTTCATAATGTTTAGTGACAGACTTTTCTCTGGTTACGCAAGCAGGAATTCTTCTATTGGTTAATGCACTTAAACTCCGCCCTTACCATATTTTGAGTGCCACGCCCACATTTCAACCTCCAATCAACAACCGATGCATAGAACCAAATCCCCGCCCCACTTTTTTCCACCAATAATGCGTTATACTCAGATGTATGTCACAATACGGAAGAAAGGATCTGTTGCTACTTCCGTTTCGTCCTGACTTTATCATCAAGGTAATTATTAGGTTAAGAGTCGAGGAGTCATGAAGATTAGTAAATGAAGTGTTCATGTGACCTTGACTTACTTTTCTCCTATAAACTGAGCCTTTTTTCTCTGATGGATTTTTAGACTCATCCTCATAGACCAAAACAAGGTCAATCCTTCTCATTCCATCGTTGAAAAACAGCGAGTCTGGGTTTCCATTGAAATCAACCTGCAAACGACAAACTGATATCACAGGAAGCTCAAAGTCATCTCTATTTAGTCATGCAAAAGATATTTTATTAAATAAAAGGCCATTAAAGTTCCTTAATAAATGGCTTTGGGCTACTGAATTAATTCTCCTAAAATTCTTCTAGTTTTGTCTTTGTCAAGATGGACAGAAAAGAAACAAACCTTTTTCACTTTTGGCGCAGCTTCACCATCTGGTCTAGATTTGTATGTTGGCACCTGTTCAGAATAATCTGGGAAAAAAGCATTAAAATAAAATTAAAGGAAACATCCAACAGGTGAATCACAACTTCTGTGATCAGATATGAATCTGCAGCCCTTACCTATGATAATACACTCACCTAAAGGGATTTTTAGGAAAACCTGTTCAATTTCTCATGAATGCAATTATCTAATCAACCAATCACATGGCAGTTGCTTCAATGCATTTAGGGGTGTGGTCCTGGTCAAGACAATCTCCTGAACTCCAAACTGAATGTCAGAATGGGAAAGAAAGGTGATTTAAGCAATTTTGAGCGTAGCATGGTTGTTGGTGCCAGACGGGCCGGTCTGAGTATTTCACAATCTGCTCAGTTACTGGGATTTTCACGCACAACCATTTCTAGGGTTTACAAAGAATGGTGTGAAAAGGGAAAAACATCCAGTATGCGGCAGTCCTGTGGGCGAAAATGCCTTGTTGATGCTAGAGGTCAGAGGAGAATGGGCCGACTGATTCAAGCTGATAGAAGAGCAACTTTGACTGAAATAACCACTCGTTACAACCGAGGTATGCAGCAAAGCATTTGTGAAGCCACAACACGCACAACCTTGAGGCGGATGGGCTACAACAGCAGAAGACCCCACCGGGTACCACTCATCTCCACTACAAATAGGAAAAAGAGGCTACAGTTTGCAAGAGCTCACCAAAATTGGACAGTTGAAGACTGGAAAAATGTTGCCTGGTCTGATGAGTCTCGATTTCTGTTGAGACATTCAGATGGTAGAGTCAGAATTTCGCGTCCACAGAATGAGAACATGGATCCATCATGCCTTGTTACCACTGTGCAGGCTGGTGGTGGTGGTGTAATGGTGTGGGGGATGTTTTCTTGGCACACTTTAGGCCCCTTAGTGCCAATTGGGCATCGTTTAAATGCCACGGCCTACCTGAGCATTGTTTCTGACCATGTCCATCCCTTTATGGCCACCATGTAACCATCCTCTGATGGCTACTTCCAGCAGGATAATGCACAATGTCACAAAGCTCGAATCATTTCAAATTGGTTTCTTGAACATGACAATGAGTTCACTGTACTAAAATGGCCTTCACAGTCACCAGATCTCAACCCAATAGAGCATCTTTGGGATGTGGTGGAACGGGAGCTTCGTGCCCTGGATGTGCATCCCACAAATCTCCATCAACTGCAAGATGCTATCCTATCAATATGGGCCAACATTTATAAAGAATGCTTTCAGCACCTTGTTGAATCAATGCCACGTAGAATTAAGGCAGTTCTGAAGGCAAAAGGGGGTCAAACACAGTAGTGTTCCTAATAATCCTTTAGGTAAGTGTATCTAACAAGTAGTAATACATCAACATACTTAAATTAATTATTGATTACATAATATTTTCAATGCATTCAGCATTAAACATTTTTCCCTTCAAACAAATCAAACTACATTACACTCGGCATGTGAACACTTTGGAATTCTCTGATTTAATGTTTACTTACAGTGAAGGGAAAACCCAACCAAAACAAACTAACCAGAGAGCAAAGCATAATGGGAAACATTAACTCAAATCAGATGTTGCTCGGCTGGATGGAAAATGTCTATAGCAACGGCCTGAAAACAGCCCGTACAAGGAAAACTCATCTGTCCCATCACGCCTCCACCACACAGACTTATTCCAGCTTATGAAATTAAACTGTCCATAAAACAGAGCTGCAGGGCTGACACAAAGGAAAATCCTTAGTGCATTTCAGACACATGTATTTGTGCAATGAATATCACCATATATTATTAATGAAAATACGTGCATTTGTCTAATTGAATCACATTTTTGTGTTGTTCTTGCAGTAAAATGCAACAGAATCAAAAGTAGGGCAAAGGAATTGACATAATTAAGCATTAATATAGACACACAATATAGGCCTACATAAAACACATGTACTTAGTTTGAATCAAAAGTAAAGTCAGTATCAGTAAAGAGAGAGTTTAAATGGCCATATGCTGGTGAAGTGTGTAACTTGTCTTTCTGGTTAGATCGTTTTGTATTGTTTTGGGCCTGACATATGCAAATGTTTTCGAGACTAGCTCTTTTAATATGTATTCTCTGCAACTGAACGAGTTTGAGCACATTATTTATGCGTTTATATATGCGTTATAAATTCTTGTCGCTCACCACACCTGCTGCACCGAAAAAGAAACTAAAAGTGTGACTCCAGCTAACAGGCAATCTTCTGCGAACTTTTGATAACATTCTGGAAAGGTTTCTCGAAGTTATGAACAAACATCTTCCAGTGACATTAATAGAAAACAAACGTTAGAAAGAAAAAGTAAAAAGGGGGAAACGTTTCCCCGAAACGTTTTAGTTAAACGTCCGTGTAACATTTCTTTTATAATGTTAGTTTGTTTCAGAACGTTCAGAGAACATTCAAAAGTAACATTCCCAAAATGTATGAAGAATTCTAAAATGGAACGTTCCGATCGCATAGCCGAGAAAAAAGTTTTAAAACATTTACAAAACTGAAAATAGAACGTTCTTAGAACATATTTTTGCAAGCCAGGATGTTGTCATCTTTCACTCTGAATCATGTAAGATAGCGATATATTGTTGTAAAGATGCCGAACTCACCCACTTCAGACATTAAACCCATCTCAACATCTCCATTCTCTGTTTCTGAGTCCAGCTCATGAATGTCTTCTTCTGCTTCACTCATTCTTAAAACTCTGCACAAAACACTTGAGTAACATGTAACAGATAATAACAGGACTCCGTACAGCACAGATGCGCAGCAGCAATACAAAGTATGACCGTAAAAAAAAAATCAAAAAAAAAAATGCGTAAAGTTTTTCCTGCCGGCCCGAACTCGCTGAGTCTGATGTAGGTGGGGTCGGAAGAGGGTTTTAGGGGTATAACGATAGGCTGGCACTGGCAGACAGTTATTGCACAACAATTTGTTGCTGCAGCAACTTGATAGTTTCCGCTTTTGCAATAATTCCAGACATTTCTGTTTTACTACAGGTTTATACATAGTCTACAGACAAAATGTCAATAGCCTATAAAAGGTACATCTTTTTTTCCAGAACAAATCATTGTTTATATTTTTGTATCACTAGTTAACGCATATATTAAAACTAGTAACTCTCCATATTGTTTGGTTTAAACATAAAACGATAAAACGTATTTGCGCACTAGGAACGAGTTCCGTGTCTTCGATTTCACACGGAGTGATTTGTGGGACGGAATCGTGTAAAGACGCGCTTTAGCACCTTTGATATTTTGTAATCTTTAATTAAGTATAATTTATTTGTTCAAATACGAGTTTATTATACATAGTGGAAAACTTGATGGTGATGTTAGCACCCAAATGCATCAGTATCATAGTGAGTCTACAAGCACAATATGAAAATGCCATGATTAGGCTACTAAATCTACCTTTACATAAAACCTTTACATTTGAATTTAAGAAGATAATGTGGTCTAATCTAGCCTTGGTGCTCCGAATTTGTATAGGCTAGTGTATGGAAGTTGAAGAAATTACCACAGAGGGAAAGGATAGTCAAGCTGCTTCAAAGTTTATTGTTCAGATGTCGATATGCATTTGCAGACAGTGGTAAAGGTGGTCTATCCTCCTTTCCATGTTGTGCCCTTCTTGTGCCTTATGATGAACTATATGATAGAAAAGCATTCAGCGTGAGACTCAGGCAGTTTTCACTTTTCTCACACAGTGATATTGCTGTCAGACAAGACAGAGTTAACTTTTGATATGAAACTAAGTAAGCTTCAACCGAGGAAAGACGTCAATAAAACAATAATTACAATTACAATATATAAAACCACCAATAAGGGTATTAAATAGTTCAATTAATTAAGGTCTTATTAGAATCATATTCCACCACACGCAAAAAGTTACACTTTGGTTCCCTCTAGTGCTGCCCTGAAGTGCAGTGCCAGTTTTCCATCCGCCCACTAATACAGTTTAACAATGAAGATGACATCTCAGTGTAAATAAACAGCACATATTCCATCCCATAAACAAACTAAAAAGGCAAGCTGTTATCCTTTGAGCCACAGAGTTTGTGACAATATCAGTGTTTATTTCATTTCAGTTTAACTACAGCAACAATTGCAAACAGCAGTAAAGTAGGATTCGATTCAAATCAGAACTCCAAGATTAGTTTGACAAGTTTTATTTCCTAAGACAGAGAGTTTTTTTAAAGGAGTTTTTTAATATGATAAACTATTCATCGCAATTAGAGTAAAGTAAGCCTGGTCCATTATTTATGAGACTTTAAAGCTCTTGTTGGGAACTCAATGACTGGCAAGCGATGAATGATGTTCGAGTTTGTTCAATTCGGATGATTTCTTTTTTAGTTTAGCTACAACATAAATAAATAAAAATACTATTTAATAGCCTGGCTATAAAGAATAGTGGGAGTCGAACTCAGGACTCCATGATTAAAATGTAACAGAGCGAATCCATTCCATAACACGATTTTAGTGGTTTCTTACATATTTCGGTAACGCTTTTCAATAAGGTTCATTAGTTAACATCAGTCCTTAGTTAACATGACCTAGAATGAAAAATACTTCTTTAGCATTTAATAATCTTAGTTAATATTAATTCCAACATTTACTAATACGTTATTCAAATCAAAGGTTGTATTTGTTAACATTAGTACTAACATGCACTGTGAACTAACATGAACATACAATGAACAGCTGTATTTTTATTAACTAACATTAACAAATTTTAATACATGCTGTAATAAATGTATTGCTCATTGTTAGTTCATGTTAGTTAACTAATGAACCTTATTGTAAAGTGTTACCCATATTTTTTATGTCATGTCCCAGAACTATTAACACACATGAACAGTAACACAAATCAGTCAAATTTATTTGGTTCCAAGACTTCATTTAATGACAAAACATGGGCAACAGTCACCTGTCATTACAAACAACAACAACAACAACACATTTGTATGAAAACACAGCTACACATCAGGAAATAATTATCATTCAGGTAATGTGTATTTAAATCAGACATGTGCAGTTTTTAATATATTTTATGTCTTCTGTCTAGGCTTTAAGAAAGCAAACTAAACACTGTGTTTGTGTGGGAAGTCAAAGCCTAGTCGTGTCAAAGTGACCCGCATTCTCAGTGTCTAGAGAAAGCAGGTCAGGACTAAATATATCCTTCAGGACATGCAATAACAAACTCAGTCTGTGTCTCGCAGCGCTGGGTGGTGCATGACATTTCTTCTGATTATCGGTTATCATAAACGGTCAGAACAGAGTTACACCAAAATCCATGCGAGTTTTATAATCCATCTGATGACTGAAGTTCTCTGAAGTTTGTTCGTGTGTCTGACCTCTGAAACACAATGGACTTCATGGAACAAATGGACGAAGATCCGCTCATTGAGTTTGCGATTCAAATGAGCCTCCAAGATGCTTGCAGTTTGTCTGTTTTGAACGAACCACTAAGGTACAGTACGCACAAACATCTTGCATGCTCAGCATATACAGGTGAAACTCGAAAAATTAGAATATCGTGCAAAAGTTCATTTATTTCAGTAATTCAACTTAAAAGGTGAAACTAATATATTATAAAGACTCATTACATGCAAATTATATATAGACCCATTATAGCTTATGAAAACCCCAAATTCAAAATTAGAATATTGTGAAAGGTTTTCATAAGCTGTAATCCATAATCATCAAAATTATAACAAATAAAGGCTTGAAATATCTCTCTTTGCATGTAATGAGTCTATATAATATATTAGTTTCACCTTTTAAGTTGAATTACTGAAATACATGATCTTTTGCACGATATTCGAATTTTTCGAGTTTCACCTGTATTATTTCAAACATTTTCCTAACATATTTAATTGTCTCATGCAGCACTTTAGAATCAGCCAGTGACGAAAACCTCCAGATTTTATCTGCTATACATCAAGGTACTCCATATGTGTGGCCTTTTACTGATCATCAATTGCTCTGATTAGGCAATGGCTTGATATTCAGCATGTGCCGTAATGTTATCCAGGTGATGTGTTGGCATTAAGGAAACTGCACAAGTACAGTGATGCCTATAAGGAAAGAGACAGCCGAGGTTGGCTCCCGATGCACAGAGCGTCTGTCCAGCCAGATGCCCATGTGTTGGACCTCGTCCTTCTGGGTGAGCAGACGCAATGTGCCAGTGTTAAAGGGAAAGTTCACCCAAAATGAAAATTACCCCATGATTTACTCATTCACAAGCCATTCTAGGTGTATATGACTTTCTTCTTTCAGACGAATACAATCAGAGTTATATTAAAACATGTCCTGGCTCTTCCAAGCTTTATAATGGCAGTGAATGGCCGTTTCTGTTTTGAAGTCCAAAAAGTGCATCTATTCATGATAAAAGTGCATCTATTCATGATAAAAGTGCTCCATGCGTCTCTGGGGGTTAATAAAGGCCTTCTGAAGCGATGCGTTCGTGTAAGAAAAGTATCCATATTTAAAGCTTTATCGACTAAAATAACTAGCTTCCGGCCAAACAATCATACGCAGTCTACTTAAAGCTGGAGTCCGTAGCTTTTTTGGGTTAAAAATTATCCAAAATAATTTCAAATCCAAATTTCAAATCCAAAGCGGTAAGCTTGTAATAATGTTTTTAACTCCAGTGGTGCTGGTGGATTTCAGCGGTTAATTCGAGCATGTCTTTGCGTCATTACGTCACATCTGTACACACACACACACACACATCTGCACACACACATCTGCACACACACATCTGCACACACACATCTGCACACACACATCTGCACACACACATCTGCACACACACATCTGCACACACACATCTGCACACACACACACACACACGCATCTGCACGCACACGCATCTGCACGCACACGCATCTGCACACACACATCTGCACACACACATCTGCACACACACATCTGCACACACACATCTGCACACACACATCTGCACACACACATCTGCACACACACGCATCTGCACACACACGCATCTGCACACACACGCATCTGCACACACACGCATCTGCACACACACATCTGCACACACACATCTGCACACACACATCTGCACACACACATCTGCACACACACATCTGCACACACACATCTGCACACACACATCTGCACACACACATCTGCACACACACATCTGCACACACACATCTGCACACACACATCTGCACACACACATCTGCACACACACATCTGCACACACACGCATCTGCACACACACGCATCTGCACACACACGCATCTGCACACACACATCTGCACACACACGCATCTGCACACACACGCATCTGCACACACACGCATCTGCACACACACGCATCTGCACACACACGCATCTGCACACACACATCTGCACACACACGCATCTGCACACACACATCTGCACACACACATCTACACACACACGCATCTGCACACACACATCTGCACACACACATCTGCACACACACATCTGCACACACACGCATCTGCACACACACATCTGCACACACACATCTGCACACACACATCTGCACACACATCTACGCACACACACATCTGCACACACACATCTGCACACACACATCTGCACACACACATCTGCACACACACATCTGCACACACACATCTGCACACACACATCTGCACACACACATCTGCACACACACATCTGCACACACGCATCTGCAAACACGCATCTGCACACACACATCTGCACACACACATCTGCACACACACATCTGCACACACACATCTGCACACACACATCTGCACACACACATCTGCACACACACATCTGCACACACACGCATCTGCACACACACATCTGCACACACACATCTGCACACGCATCTGCACACACACATCTGCACACACACATCTGCACACACACATCTGCACACACACATCTGCACACACACATCTGCACACACACGCATCTGCACACACACGCATCTGCACACACACATCTGCACACACACATCTGCACACACACATCTGCACACACATCTGCACACACATCTGCACACACATCTACACACACATCTGCACACACACCTGCACACACACATCTGCACACACATCTGCACACACATCTGCACACACACACACACATCTGCACACACACACACACATCTGCACGCACACACATCTGCACGCACACGCATCTGCACGCACACGCATCTGCACGCACACGCATCTGCACACACACACATCTGCACACACACATCTGCACACACACATCTGCACACACACACATCTGCACACACACGCATCTGCACACACACATCTGCACACACACACATCTGCACACACTACCTGACGCACAACGTAATGACGAACGCAGAGGATACAGCAAAACAAAACACCGGTTACAAATTAAAAGTCTAAAACAAGAATTTTTAAAGAGAAATGTGGGAGGAGCTTGAGTTTGTTGCCCAGCCCTGTTTGTTTGAAATGCGAGAAGCGTCAAAGCTTACGATACTCATACGTCATACATGCGGCAAGTGTTACTCTTTTGGCGTAAGCCGACTTGCGTA